GCGCTCGCACGGCCCCGGCGGGGGCTCTTGGAGCCCCTGGAGCTCGGCTGCCGCGGTGCCGTCTTGAGGCGGCTGGGCCGAGCTGCTCCATGGGGTCCCAGGCGCAGGCGGCATCCCGGTGCCGTGAGCCAGGCCCCGTCTTCGGCGGGGTCGCGTCTGGGGTCATCGAGGATACGCTGATCCATCTGGCCACGGAAAACGAGCAGTACCTGAGCGAGCTGCCGGCTCAGGCCGGGTGCTTCAAAGAGACGCAGATAGTGGGTGAGATGGTTTTTCCCAGCTACAGCTCGCTCCCGAGACAGTTCACGGCTGAGTAATTAGCTTCAGTTGACTGAAGTGTTTGCTCTTTTTTGCAGAATTTATATTCCTTTTGTCTGAAAAGTGGCACTTGGATCACTTGGTGAGGTACCAAGCAGTGGAGTTACTTGAAAGGTAACAAATACCCCGAACCCTTAATGCCTTTCATGTTTCCCTCATGCGGTTGCGCCGTGCCTGCTCTGTACCACTCACTCAAACCACGTACGACGGCTTTTTGCATGTCTAGAGCTTTGTGTCTTTACTAATTTAATTCAAATTAACAGCTATCCATATGTTCTGAGTACATGCAGAATTGCTTTTCTTCTCTTTTCTTACCAGAACTGTTTTCTGAGCAATTGTGGGTTTTGTAGGTTTATGATCAAGCAAGTAGAACAGATCTGTAAGTCCTCCAGAGAGAACGTCACAAGTCATGAACGAGGAGAAGGGAGCAGCTGGAGCTCTCTGAGCAATCAGATATGTGACACGTTTGTCCTGCGTCTTGTGTCGTGCATTCAGCTTGCAAGCAAAGTTTCCTTACACTATAACGTAAGCCAGCTAATCTGTTCTTATAACATTTTTTAGCAGTGTGGTAAATGATGTAATATATTAATCTCTCTTAAAAGATAGATTTTTCTCTTTGAAAGACAGTGGTAGTGAAATGCAAAGGATATTGAAATAGAGACCTAAATCTCTGCTTAGGGGAGATTAATTGTCACTTGTCAAGTAACAATTTGTCAGGAGATGATCCCGGTACTGGGAGAAAAAGTACAGGCAGTGGGAGAACTTATGCAGCGGTTGTTGAAGTTGCATGGCTGTGGAGGGCTCACACCTCTCTGGGGAAGGTTTGCAGAGCGGAGGAAACCTGCGGGAAGGGTCTGGGCTGGATTCCTCATCCAGCTGAAAAAGACGCGCGAGACGGGGGTTAGCGGGCAACGTCGCTTGTCATTAAATTCCACGGGAGGAGAAAAGCAGAAAGTACTTTGTTCTTAGCAAGTGCCTTATTGCCTAGAAGATAATTGGTCTTTTTTTTTCCCTTCAGATAGTTAACAGTGACGCAGCTTTAAAATTCCTGCAGTCCTTAAAATACTCGTACACTAAACAGGAATTGCTGGAGTCGGAGCTTGTCGTTTTAAAAGCTCTGCACTTCCAGATCAACGTATCAACCCCTTTGGCTTATGTGGAATTGCTTCTAGAGGTTTTAGGTGAGAGTTTTAATAGGAGAGAGTGGGAAAGAATCTTTTTAAAAGCGTAATAGAGCTACTACTGATCTGAAACTAAACGTCTCATGCGAGGAGTTTTTACACGCTGTGAAGGCACGTGAACCTTTTCAGATTGTCCAGGGCTTTATTTTTCAGCTGAGAGCCCTGTTCTTAGTAGAATCTGATGAATGTTTTTGGACAGCCCCTCGTGACTCGTTCACTAAAAGATTAAATGTTTCAAACCCCAAAAACCTACCGTAAGGCCACATTTTCTACAATGACTTAACCATTTTTTTTTGCCCGGGTCTGACAACCTGAATTTCAGAATGAGTGAAATCACACTGAAAGCGCCTGTGGCGTTCAGAAACAAAGGGCTGTTGTCACCAGAAGTCTCCATCCCTCACTTCCAGTAACTAACACTTCTTTCTAATCCAGCTTGATGACTCAAAAGTGTGTGGCTGATTTCCTGTGATCTCTGTGCTAGGACATAACGGCTGCTTGCTTCCTGCAAAACCGCTGTATCAGATGTGTATACAGCTACTAGACTTCTCCTATCTTACACGAGATGCCATCTACAACACTTTGCTGAAGATTGCCATCGAAAATTCGACACCGAGCAAACTGCAGGTGTAAGTAGCTCGTGTGACTATTACTTAAAGTAACTATTTGAAACTAAAGCCCTAAGAAATAGTAACGTAATTCCCATTGTGCCGTTTTTTGAGCATGTTTTAAAACAAGATTTTAATTTGGGGGGCTTTCAGCATTGTTTATTGATCTTAACAACCAGTTTAAAGCAACGTGCTTCACCACGTTCACTTTAGGGGTGAGACAGGAAAGTGTTTAACTTAATTGTAAAAATCCAGCTTTAGCACTGTCGACCGAAGTTCCCAGCATCAGGCTTTATTTGGGGTAATGTGTCCGTGGGCTGTGCAGTGGTTACAGAAGTTGGGTGTTTTTGTGCTGTAAAGCCACATCGTGTTACACCAGAAAACACTTTCACTTGTGCAGAGCAAAGTTTTTGACAGTGAAGGAAGATTTCATGCTCTTGGCTGTTGGAATCATCAGCACAAGCGTGTTCATACTAAACCCTGGGCCCTGGAAGCAGGTACAGTCGCCTCTAAATGCATTAGCTCTATGTAAAGAAATGTGAGTTGTTTACACGTCTGAGCAGAGCGAGACGGGGAAACTACTGGGAGCAGCATGAGGGAGGCAACGACTTCCCGGTTCTTCGTCAGGAAGCGCCGGAGGCACAGGGGAGGGCGGCTGGGGGCTGCGCTGGTGCTGCAGCCCCCTGACAGCCAGAGCTGCCCCCAGACGCAGTCCCACGGGACAGCTTTGTGCCCAAACTGCCCCCGAGTGCTGCAGCGAACGGCCTGTTTCAGACAGCGGCCTTACTGTGTTAGTAGGAGCAATTAGACTGGACGATCAAAAGCAAGCAAGCAAAAACCCAACCGAATAAATAAACCAGACTGAGACGTGCACCCTCAGGGCACTGTTACTGCCCTTAGATTTGGAGGATTAAGTATGTCTGTGAACTGCTGTCTCTTAGGCACTGTAAGCAGGTACCTTTTTTTTTTTTTTAAAGGTTGTGGCGCATTTAAACTCCATCACTGGCATTACTTCACAAAGCATCTTAGAATTTTCTTACGCAGTACTGAAACACATCACTGGCAGCACCACTCCACAGCAGCGCCCTAGGAACTGTGGGACAAAAGCTCCAGGGAACAGAATTACGGCCTTTAACTAGATCTTCGATGGCCGGTCCCTGGCGTCAGCAGCCCACGCTGTGAGAGCAAAGGGGCTGCTGCTGGCCTGGGGGCTGCGGCCCACTGGGGGCTGTCGCCCGCTCCCTGCCCCCGGCCAGCGGCTGCAGGACTCTTGCACACTCATCGCTACTTTAAACACTGTCAAACCTCCTTTGGTGGCACAAAGAAGTGCTGATGGGTCTTAGAAAACATTTTATTTCAATCTGTAGTTAACTCCTTAATGACCAAGCAGAGCTTCCGTGAGTTCCTCCATGTTCTTCCCTGTAACATTTTGCTTTTCTAGCCTTGTTAAGCTGTAACAGAGCAGTGTCAAACTCACGGGTGTTTTGAAGTTCAGCAGTAATTTAGACACGTGTCTAAAGCCCCAAAAATACAAGTTTAGGATCTATTTGATAGCTGATTTTTTAAATTCTGTTCAGCTCAGTAATAGAACTTTACATATTGCTTTTCTACATACTACTTGTAATAACGGTATTTTAAATAAAGTGTCTTGTGGATTTTTGGTATTGTAAACAGTTCATACTGGTTAATATTAAGAGACATCTTATTTGACTTTCTCCACCAAAACGCAAACACTACAGCTGCCAGGACGAGTTCTTACACGGCTACTTGTTATAGAACTGGGAGGAGACCCAGGCCAGGCCCCACTTCAGGTTAGTTAACATAAATTTCAGTGCTTTTGTCCATTGCTCCTCAGAGTTAAATTGTGTTTTAATGGAGTAAGAGCCACCGCTGCCGCCTGTATCTTCAATCTTCCCTTTCTCCACGTCCATCCTGTGTCACACACAAAGTTTTATTAGTGTTATTACTGCTGCAAGCATTTAATCTCAACGATGTCATTTGAAGTTCAAGTCTGACATTCCTGTTATTCTACGTAAGAATACTTTCTTTTTAAAGGAGATGGAGTCTTCATCTGAGGAAGTTAGCTTTAAATTTCAGTTAAGCAAAGAGCAAAGGTGGTGATGGCACACATGACCGAGCAGAGGGGGAGGCTGCGGAGCGGCAGGACGAGGCAGCTGCAGAGCTGTGCCCGTGCAGAGCCCCCCTGAGCCACGTGGGCAGCCGCAGCCACACTCACCTGTAAGGCAAACAAAACCGAGTTTCGCCTTTTTCCACTTCCTCTTTAAACTGCTGCACGCAGTCCAGGAAAGCCACCATTGCGTGGTCAAACTTATTGTCCCAGAAGAACCGGAGGCCTCCAGAGCAGTACAGGGGGAGCTCCTGGAAGAGACACTGCCGTCAGCACCCCGAGCACTCTGCTGTACGTGTGGTCACTACAGCTCCTTAGTCTTGTGCCAGGCTTAAATTAGTCACAGAATGCTCAGAAATGGTTTGTGGCACATCATGAGCGTGACTGGGTTTGTGGCAAGTGCTGACCGGGTGCAGGCTCGGGTTGCTGACCCCCAGCACCCAGCCCGAATGGGGCCGCCTTCCCCCGGCCAGCGGCAGGGACAATCCTGCTGGGCAGAGGAGAGGCCCGGTGCGGGACAGGGGGCGAGAGGTGACTGTGCTGGAGGTGGGGGCAGCCGGCGCTCCTGGCTGGAGCGGGGGGGCTCTCCTGCACCACACGCTGAGTTTGTCTCCGCGGCCCCCTGCGTGACCAGGGCTCTGTGACACTCACAGCCAACATCCTGGGACTTGTGCAGGGTCTCTTACCTTCGATTTGTCTGTGAGGGACTCTAAGTACGAGTGGTTGCCGTAGGGTACGAGACGGTATCTGAAAGGAGAGAGGAGTCACAGGCAGATGTGTCCAACTGCCTTTGGTTCAGGAATGAAGGATGTACTGTACTGCAAATACCTTTGGAACTTCAGGCCCATTTTGTTGGCAAGGGCATGTAGCAAGAGCACAGTCTGCCCCCAGGCAGCGTTGATCTCGTTCCATTCTACAGGGACGCTGGGGAGGCGGCCAAGTCTGAAGTTATTTATTGTGCCAAACTGGCCGCTGTGCCTGTGATAAGAGGAATTATAAATAAGCGCAAGAGGACAGGAACAGCTCCTGGCACGCCAACCAAACAAGGGTTACAGAACACAGGCTGCTAAGCCAGCCAGAGCAGGGTGGGGGGCTCTGATTAGAGAGCATATGGACGTACAAGCCCTTGTCCTCCTTTTATGAGAGTTCATAAACCCCAGCCAATCCCCCAAGCTACCTGCTCTGTAGAGCCCGACACGGCGCGTTACCGCTGGGTAGCGCAGTCGGTCCCAGTTCGTGCCGGGGTGGGTGAAGGAGCCGTTTCAGAGTTCACTCTGACCCCTGCGCAGGGTCACAAACCTCCCTCGGCAGACGGACACCACTGGGAGCCGTGACCAGGTGCTTTGCTATGGGGTAACTCCAACCTGACCGACTGCCCCCTCCCTGGCCCAGGCATGGTGACTTCGGCAGCCTCGCGCTGCAGGTTCGGAGCAAATCAACACGCGGCTCCAGTGTCCGTTACCAGATGTGAAAGGTCGCGTTGAACACGTTGGTTTTCTTTAATTTATCCAGTTGCATCTGGGCATAACGCATCTGGTTGTCCACGCTTTTCAGCTCGTCATCTAGCTCCAGCTGCTGCCTCTTGAATTCACAGTATTCCTTTTGATACCTTTTAACAAAAGCAAAACAAGAAACACTAAGTGCAGGCTTTTACAGAAAGCGACTGCTCGCGCAGCATACTTGGTTCTTTTGGTCTAGGAACAAGCCACTTGCATTTGGGTGTTATTTAACGGTTTCTCCACATTATAATCTAATTTATCTGTACCTAAAATCCCTGCCATAAACTGCAGTTGTCGTTCACTCACTGAGCTTCTTCCTGCTCCAGCCGCTCTGCCTCTGCCCTGACTCTCTCGAAGTCTTCGGCCACGATCTTGCGGTTCTTCTCAACGTCCTCCAGCTCCTGGATCAGCTGCTCTTCTTCCAGCGCAAGTTCCTTCAGTTCCATCTGCAGTTTCTCCTTGTCATCCTCGTTCATTTGCTCCAGTATCTCCAGACATCTCCTGGAGGAGAGCAGCAGGATCACCGACGGGACTCTGCTCCCCCCCCCCCCCCACACCTCTCGCCCCCCCGCGCT